CGTAGAAAATCCATACTTTAACCGACTCTCCTCATTCCAACGCCATTTTAACCCTTAAAGAAAGGTGAATTGGGGCTCCAACTCCCTTCATGAACCAAGAAGCAGGAAGTCACGTAGTCAGCAGGAACAGGGCATCCCGCCATCATTCCCCAACCTGGAAAGCACATACTTGGCGCCCCACCCAGGGAGTGACCAAGGGGGCAGCAATAGACATCCACAGAGGCAGTTTAGCAAGTCGGGTGTTCTGAAAGCCCATCTCAAGACAAGTCTCAAGGGCAAGGATATGTAAAGAGTTTTATTGTTCTTTCGGTGATGGGTCCTTAAGAGGTGTTGGGAAAGGTGTCTGATAAAGTGACCTAATGTTGAACTTGTGTAACCCATGCATACCCCTCCCCATTTGTGACATGCTAGTGATGTAGTGATGATGTATCAATGATGCTGCTCAAAATCTATTCTGGGGGAAAGAGGGAAGTTTTAAAAGAGGATGTTGCCCCATGCTCAGGATTCTTACTCCTGTGGGGACCTGTTGCGCAACACTAAAGATCATGGTCTACTGACCGCTGTTTTGCTCCAAATTACTTCGGTGGAACTTCCTTCTTTTACTGATTGCATAGACCTGTGGGGGACTTGCACCCCGACGAGCTGGGCTGTTGAGTAGTCTCTCACTCCGGAATTTTTTTTCTTTACATTCCTTAAAATAAGGTACAGTGGTACCTCAGGTTAAGTACTTAATTCGTTCTGGAGGTCCGTTCTTAACCTGAAGCTGTTCTTAACCTGAAGCACCACTGTAGCTAATGGGGCTTCCCACTGCCGCCGGGCCGCCGGAGCATGATTTCTGTTCTCATCCTGAAGTGTATGTAACCCGAGGTACCACTGTACCTCATCTATCTCTCACATTAACGGCAAGGGTGAAGGATGTGAAGCTTCCTTTCCACATGACATGATGGGGAAACTTCCCTTCCTTGTGGAGCTTTGTCGCTGTGCAGAAATGACGAAATATTTCCTTCCAGTCTGTCCACTACGCCATGACAAGCAACTTATAAGAGAGCCAGTGTGGTGTAGTGGTTAAGAGCGGTAGACTCATAATCTGGAGAACCGGGTTCGCGTCTCCGCTCCTCCACATGCAGCTGCTGGGTGACCTTGGGCCAGTCACACTTCTTTGAAGTCTCTCAGCCCCACTCACCTCACATAGTGTTTGTTGTGGGGGAGGAAGGGAAAGGAGAATGTTAGCCGCTTTGAGACTCCTGAAGGGGAGTGAAAGGCAGGATATCAAATCCAAACTCTTCTCTTGTTCTTCTAAAAGGTTTAAGGTAGGGATGGCAGGCTCAGAGTGGGGAGGTCAATGTGGCCATCCAGACTTCTCTATCTAGCCCTCAGGGCTCTCAATGGCCCTCCAGAGCTTTCAATCAGGTCCTCAGGACTCTCCCCAGGCCACCCCCCTCTGCAATCACAATATTCTCTTCAGGCCAAGCCCCTCACAGGCCCTGCTTTGTAACCCTCCATTCCTAGCTGGAATATGGCCTTTGTCGCCTGAATGGATAACAGATAGGGATGTGTGAGACACTTAACATTTTTGTTCCACCCACTTTTACTTCTGGGCCTAACCACTATGGCATGTGGCCCCTGGAAGGTTGCTTAGAAGATAATGTGGCCCTTGAGCTGGAAAAAAGGTCCCCCATTCCTGGTATCAGGCTTAGACGTCTGATACCATGTCAAGTTATTTCTGAGAAAAGGCCAGGCCAAAATGCAGGCATTACTGAACAGCTTTATTGCTAAGAACTGTCTAGAACAGCAGCTTTGCTGACTGGCACAGTTCAGACACAGTGCCACCTACAGTTGGAAGACCAATAAAACAGTTAAGGTCCCCATTACGACAATGCAGAATTTAAATCTGACTACAATTTTAACATTTTGGCTTCTGATATTTATATTCTGAGGGGTATTAATGAATGAAAATGTTAACTCTTGCTGAGGAATTTAAGAGGAAGATTGTGACATATTAACTTGCTAAATTTTGCAACTTGTATTATTATTATTTTTAAAGAAACACTTAAATCTCAAAAATTATTAAATGCATTGAACCCTGATAATGATGGGGGGGGGAACTGAGGGTGTTTCCAGATACCCAGATTACTGAACATTCATCCTGATTTGACTATTTAATGAGTATTATTTCTCATTTGTTTGCAGGGAATTTAGGTGGCAGTTGCTTCCAAGCGAGTGTTATCTCACAATTTCCACTTATCTCGTATCTCGTCCTTCCCCCACTCTCATTATCACATAAAAATTCAATCATTTGGGGAAGTGGGTTTGTTGCACAACACCTCCCAACCAACAATTATTGTGCAGCCTGAAGTTGCCAGAGAATGTATCCCACCTGAAAATAATGACCATCTGGAAGTGCCTTGATTGAGGAGAATAAATACATTTGAATTGTGGCAAGTGCCTTTGAGTTAGGAAACACGTCTTGTGAATCTTCCTTCAAAATTAGTTTCAGTTTTAAACAAAAACTATACAAGATAATGCATCACAATTACAAAACTAACCAGCCAACAAAAACTGGATTAAAATGTTCTGCAAGAAACCTCTAGTGGAAGCTCATCCCTGGTAGCAAAAGGCTGTCCCTATGCTACTTTAAAAATAAATAAATAAATATTTGCTTTTGTAAATGTGTTGGATGTCAAATATATCCAGAACAGGGGGGGAGGGGGTCAAACAACCAAATGAACGCAATGTGACATTTGACTTGAGAGTACCATTAGACAGGTGTGTCATAATCCAAATGAAATTAGCTCATAATATGAAAGATAAAGAGCATATGAAAAAATTACCATTTTGAAAGGACTAGGGCAGTGATGGCCAAACTTGGCCCTCCAGCTGTTTTGGGACTACAACTCCCATCATCCCTAGCTGACAGGACCAGTGGTCAGGGATGATGGGAATTGTAGTCCCAAAACAGCTGGAGGGCCAAGTTTGGCCATCACTGGACTAGGGTGTATAGTTACACAAAGTGTCACTTGTCCAATGTGCCTTTTTTTGTCGGTACAATTCTTTAAACTCTTCTTTGGAAATTAAGGCAAAGGACACCACTCAATGGCTACATGTGAGCCAGGATTACACCAGGAAGAAACGGCATGTCCTTTCTATGTGGTTTATATAAGGGGTGAGAACCTGTGCCCCCCTTGTTGGACTCCAACTCCCTTCATCCCTGACCATTGGCCAGGGCTGGGCCTGATGGGAGTTGGAGTGTGAAAACATCTGGAGGACCACAGCTTCCACACCCCTGCTTGAAACAGACACAAAGGATTTAACAGGTAGCAAGCACAGCAATTGCCTTAACAAAATTCTAAATGTGTTAATAAAGACGGTCAATATTTATACATTAGCAAAACAATTAGGCAGCATTGTTTGACTCATTTACATGGGATTAAACTCTGACTGACCTCAGGCAGCAGTTAGTGGGCCCCCCAGACTGACAGCAAGATATTGGGGACAATCTTCTGTGTGCCACATGGCCTCTGCTCTACCCCCTAGCTAGCCTGCTGCTCTCTGGTGTGGTAGAAAACATCCCATCGGTGTTAAAATTCAGTTGCTGTTGTTGTTTCGATTTACTACCCACCCTTTGCTATCAGGTTCCTGGGTGGGACTCACAGCCATTGAAAAGTCAATATTGAAAACAGTTAAATTACAGCCAAAAGATATGGGTGGGTCCTCACATATCTCAGGTGTCAAAGGGCAAAGGAAAGAGTTGCATCTTCAGCATGCGATGGTGCCAGATACAATTCGGTGGGGAGGGAATTTGTAACCTAGGAGGTGCCAAAGAGAATGGCCTCTCTCAGGCCACCACCCGCAAACCTCTGAGGACAACATCATCATCATTATCATAATTTTATTTATATGCCGCCTTTCCATAGTTAAAACAATGCTTAAGGCGGCTTACAACATGACAAGATTTACATAATTACCAACGGAACAAAAGTCATAAGCAATAAATAAAACACATCAAAAAGTGCACAACCAAATAGAAAACAATTTCCACATAAATCATAAAATCTAAAACTAAGAATACAGCTATAGGGACGCAGGTGGTGCTATGGGTTAAACCACAGAGCCTAGGACTTGCCGATCAGAAGGTTCGAATCCCCGTGACGGGGTGAGCTCCCGTTGCTTGGTCCCTGCTCCTGCCAACCTAGCAGTTCGAAAGCACATCAAAGTGCAAGTAGATAAACAGGTACCGCTCCAGTGGGAAGGTAAACGGTGTTTCCGTGTGCTGCTCTGGTTCACCAGAAGCGGCTTAGTCATGCTGGCCACGTGACCCGGAAGCTGTACGCCGGCTCCCTCGGCCAATAAAGCGAGATGAGCGCCGCAACCCCAGAGTCAGTCACGACTGGACCTAATGGTCAGGGGTCCCTTTACCTTTACCTTAAGAATATAGCATTAATATCAATTACAATTTAAAATAGCATAGATAAAAAATAAAAGCAATTTAAAAAAACAAAACAGAGCCCTCTCTGCCCAGATGGAAGGAGGCAGGCAAGGCCCTTCAGGCGCTCAGCAGCAGGTGAGTCCCTCAGCCGAACTATAAAGAAGACTCCTCTGCTGATCTTAACACCAGAAAGGAAAGAAACATTCTTTCATATATTTGGGGCCTGGGTTGCTTTAGAACTTCAAACACTAATACAAACACTTTGAATTGGGCCTGGAAACAAACTGGCAACCAATGTAGCTGCTTTAAAACAGGAGTTACACAAGTTCTACAGAGAAGCCCAGCCAGGAATCTGGTTGATGTGTTGTGAACTAGTTGAAGTTTCCAAGGCATCTTCAAGTCCATTTAAGTTGATGGAATTGGTGAGGTGGGTGAGCAGTGATGACATCTCGTCCTTTGGTCTATTTTCTGTCCATTCTGATTGTGGACTAGATTGTAGATCACGGCCCACAATCTGACTCCCGCCCCTCTGACATCTCCCTTCCCCTTTTCTGAGGTTTCCTCCTTGAAGCAATTTCAAGTTCTCCTTCCTTGCTCTTCAGCCAGAGACAACCACTGCTGTCTCTGGGGGTTTGGCTTCCGCACCCTTGGGAACCCGGAATCCGATCATCCTCAGCCAGGGAGACGTCAACGTCAGATTGATCCCCAATTTAGGAGGTTTCGCAATGGGCCATCCAGGATTCCCTGTCCTCCATGTTCTTCTGGGCTTAGCTTGGGCACAGCTGGGTGAGTTGGATCAAATACTTCCCATCTCTTCAGCCTCCTCTGAACTTCCTGATTCCTCCTCTGCCTACTGTGACTCTTCTTCCTTGGCTACGATCAGCCCTTAAGCAACCAAACAACTCTCGACAAATGCAACATCTCTGCATTGTCTTGGGTTACATAGTTTTTCTTTTCAGAGCTTGGGACAAATTGCCCTAAAGTATGTCTCCAACCTTTGCCCAATGGTTGTGTCCGTCCCAGACTAACGCAACAAGCTAGACTTGAATCTTCCCCTCTTCCACACACACCCCGCACAAACTCACAGGTAGTTCTATCGGACCATCACCTGTTGCCTTCTCTCAGTGTCTGGCAGCTTCCCCGTGCCCGTAATCTCACTAGGATATTTTCTTCCCCCAAATTTAGGGGCAACTGACACATATGTGAACAATATGACTGTAATTGTTTCAGCCGTTCTTTCTCTTTTTCTTCCTCCCCGTGTTGCTCAGTCAGCTTTGTACTCATTCTCATTTTATCTTGGGGAAGGATCCTAGCTCAACATTTGCTTTGTATTCAGAAGACCCCAGTTTCAGTCCTCAGCATCTGAAGGCTGGGCTGGGAAGTAAGCTTGCCTGAAGCTGCGAGTCACCGTCAACAAAACTGAGCTAGATGATTCTGTATAAGGCAGTTTCCAATGTTCCCGTGTTCAGTTTAAAAACTGCCATTTTAAAACATCAGCTTAATTGCATGCCTTGTTACTATGCTCAAAGAGAGGGCCCGCAAGGACTCTCCAGGGTGCCAGCAGCTCAGCTTATCTTCTCCCTTAGCAGAGAGAAAAGTGATTGTGGGAAGAGGGTGAACAGGGCAGGAGCCCCACCTGAGCAGTAACCTTGAATACATTGCATCGCCAGGTCTGAGGCGACATACACACTATCCCTTTAAATCACATTCAAAGCACATTTTCCCCCTCAAAGAATTCTGGGAACTGTAGTTTGTTAAGGGTTGCTCGGATTTGTAATTCTGTGAGGCGAACTGCAGTGCCCAGAATTCTTTGAGGGAAAATGTGTGATTCCAATGCACGTATATATTTCGTGTATGCAGCCTGAGTCTCGGTGCTGTAGATTGGAGAATGTTTGGGGGCTGGCAGTGCAGGAAGCTGAGCAGCCAGCCTCTATTTTTTTTTTTATAATAATTTTTATTAATTTTCCAAACATGTATTAAAAACAAACAACAAAACAAAACAAAACATACACACAAATAAACATGTATAATTTCATAAACTCATTTTCCTTCACCTTGTTTCCCGGACTTCCCCATACCTCCCTTTTTCTGCATCCTTATTTTTCCTTTTTAACAGCAACCCTCCATTTAATTAATTAATTCATCTTCATTATAATTCCCTTAAATTTATGATATACAGCTGCAATTCTCTGTTTCTTAACACCATAGCATCTCAGCACTCCTCAATGTTACAACAGTTTTTAAGGTATGTTTTAAATTTCTTCCAATCTTCTTCCACTGTCTCACTCCCCTGGTCACGGATTCTGCCGGTCATCTCTGCCATTCCCATGTAGTCGATCACCTTCGCTTGCCATTCTTCCAGAGTAGGTAGCTGCTGCGTCTTCCAATACTTTGCCAGAAGAATTCTTGCTGCTGTGGTAGCATACATAAAGAAAGTTCTGTCCTTCCTTGGCACCAATTGGCCCACCATGCCCAGGAGAAAAGCCTCTGGTTTTTTAGAAAATGTCCATTTAAGGACCTTTTTAATTTCATTATAGATCATTTCCCAGTAGGCTTTAATCCTCGGGCAGGTCCACCAAAGGTGATAGAAAGTACCTTCCGTTTCATTACATTTCCAACATTTATTGTTGGGCAAATGGTAAATTTTTGCAAGTTTGACTGGGGTCATATACCACCTATAGATCATTTTCATTATGTTTTCTTTCAGAGCATTACAAGCCGTAAATCTAACACCAGTATTCCATAACCTTTCCCAGTCATCAAACATAATGTCATGACCTATGTCTTGTGCCCATTTAATCATAGCTGATTTTACTATTTCATCTTGTGTATTCCATTTCAGCAGCAATTTATACATTCTTGACAAGTTCTTAGTATTGGGTTCTAACAATTCTGTTTCTAATTTCGACCTCTCCATCTGAAAACCTATTTTCCTGTCCTGTTTGAATACCTCATTTATCTGTAGGTAGTGCAACCAATCTCGCACTTTAGACTTTAATTTGTCAAAACTCTGTAATTTAACCCTTTCTCCATCTTGCTCTAAAATTTCACAATATTTTGGCCATTTAGACTCCATGTTAAGTTTTTTTGTCTCTTTAGCTTCCATTGGTGATAGCCACCTGGGGGTTTTACTTTCCAATAGATCCTTATATCTTATCCAAACATTATATAGTGCTTTCCTGACAATATGGTTTTTAAAACCTTTGTGTATTTTTACCTTGTCATACCATATATACGCATGCCAACCAAATCTATTGTCATACCCTTCCAGATCCAAAATGTCTGTGTTCTCAAGAAGCAGCCATTGTTTCAGCCAGCAAAATGCTGCCGATTCATAATAAAGTCTCAGGTCCGGCAGGGCAAACCCCCCTCTATCTTTTGCATCAGTTAAGATCTTAAAGTTTATTCTGGGCTTTTTGCCCTGCCAGACAAATTTTGATATGTCTTTTTGCCACCTCTTGAAACAGTCCATTTTGTCCAGGATCTGGAGTGTCTGAAATAAAAACAACATTCTTGGCAATACATTCATCTTGATGACCAGTGGCGTAGCGTGGGGGGTGCCAGGGGTGCCGGCCGCACCGGGCGCAACATGGGCGGGGGGCGCGCTCGCACTAGCAGCTCTCTGCCCCTACTAAAATCCACGGGTTAGGGAGCCCGCGCTCGCTCGGCTTGGCGAGGAGGTCGCAGAAGGGGGAGAGCAAAGCCTTCTGCCGCGGGCAAAAAAAGGAGAGGAAGCCGGGCGGGCGGGCTGGCTGGCTGGCTGGCGGGGGTCTGGCTGCGCCTGCTGCTGCCGTTGCTGCTGCTGCCGGGGCTTTGACAGCTTGGTGAAGCGGAGGGAGAGGAGCTTTATGGTAATTGCGGCTCTCTCTCCACTGGCCGCCTGGCTAGTGAGCCGAGCAGGGAGTCTGGCGAGGGGGCGGGAAGAGACTTTTCCACCTCGCCTGGTCAAAAAGGAGAGCGGAGTCTCCTCAGGGCGCCCTCAGGCAGGGCAAGGCAAGCAGAGCGAGGAGGAGAGAGAGGGGAAGGGGGGGAAGCAGCCAGGAAACGCTGCGGTGTGGAGGAGGAATCAATTAAGGAGAGAAAGCGAAAAGCCTTGGAGAAAGGGAAAAAAAGGAAAGAGGCAGCTCCAGGAGAGCGCGGGGGAAAGAGAAGCCTCTCTGCTGCTGCTTGGGAGAGTAAATTACTGTACTTGCCTTGCCCCGGGTTAGGGGGCGCAAATTAATTGCCTTGCCCCGGGTTAGGGGGCGCAAATTACTTGCCTTGCCCCGGGTGCTGATAACCCACGCTACGCCGCTGTTGATGACAGCAATTCGGCCTAACAAGGAAAGTCTCAACCTTGACCATATTTCTAGATCTTTCTTCACCTCTGTCCAACATTTATCATAGTTATCTTTAAATAAGTTCACATTTTTTGAAGTTAGATTTACACCCAGGTACTTCACTTTTTTTGTTATTACTAAACCTGTTTCACTCTGAAATTTCTCTTTTTCTGCCATTGTTAGACTGAGCAGCCAGCCTCTAACCCAGGGGCAGCCATCATGGCAATCTCCAGGTATTTTTGGACTCTCAATACCCATCAGCCCCAGGCAGTATGGACAATGGTTGGGATGATGGGAGTTGTAGTCAGATAACATCTGGGGGGGGGCAGTGGTGGTTATGTTCTTCTGTGAGAGTTCCTGTTTTCCCCTTCATTCGCCCAGGGTGGGAAAATTAGTCCATCTGTGGCCACTACCTCTTGCTTTCAACAGGGCTGAGGCTTTCAAACATTCTGTTCTTGCAGGAAGGTTTTGCTTAAGCATAGTTCTCCTTCAGCTGGTGTGGTGGATGCAGCTTTAACATTTCAGCAGCGCCCGGTTTGAGCCAGTGTCCTCCCCAACCTCTCACCTTCCATTGGTGGTCCTGCAACACCCTCCCAGCTCCCAGTGCAGGAAAACTGGTTGTGCTCCCCTAAATCTGCCTCTTATGAATATGTTAGACCTGCTTGGAGACTCAAAAAAAGGGGGTCCCTAAGGATTGACTAGGAAACTGCATCATAAGGGAATAAATTACATGTTCTCTATCCCCTTGGTAACATCTACAGTAGCAAAATACATGAGACGCTGTTTCAAACTCCAAATGGGGGCAAAGACACCATCTATCCTTGTCCTGTCTAGGATATTGGTGGGTAAAACCAGGCAATAAAACTGCTCTTCTGTACTCGGGTACTATTAGAAAATAAAGATATGACATCTGTTTGTTAGAAGCAGACCAAGTCAGGTCCAGCAAGCATGGTGTATATGAGTCATTAGCTGGTGTGTGTAACTCTTGAACACCCATTTCCGGTAATACAGAGAAAGGAGAACTGACATGTGTGTATGCGCGCACATGCTTGCACACTTAAAATTTCAAAATGCTTACATCAGTATGACAGTTTCTAAACCAGCCAGACCTCCCCACACCTTCACTTCCAATACAAAAAACTCACCAAAGGACACATATCTTGTTTGGTTTCCCCCATGAACCCACTAGCCCAAAACCCCAGGAAGAAGAAAAAATGCCACAGCAACATTTATTTAGTTGGTCCTGAATAATCGGTGATTAGGCAAGACCACCCACTGATCAGAGGTAGCCTTGGGAGTTACAGGTACACTCACTTACCTGGGCTAATTGTGTGATCGGAGTCTTGCTATAGTTTGAGTGGAGAAGCACCTGTACTCTATCCTAACCCCACACTGGGGTGGGAGTAGGCAGGTTAGGACTGCAGCCTTTGTCTGCTATCTCTCTATCCCTTTCCATCTTGTGAGAGA